TTCACTATGGAATTACACCCGGTTGCTTGGAAGGCTAGGGATGAAAAGCATTTTTAGCAATGAAATATTTACTCTGCTGTTTTCTTTCTATTACACCCATGGGTTCACTCGGCAGACTTTCGGTAAAGTGTGTCTACAAGGATATCTTCCTGGTTCACTCCAGTCATGTTCAAGTAAGCTTTTTCATCACGTCAGGATAGTTTGGCAGCGTAGGCGGCCAACTGTTTCATTAATATTTAAGCTATTCTTCAGTGACTACTCAGTTACAAAGTCAAGTGTCATTAAGGTTTGTTTGTTTGTTTTGAATTTCGCGCAAAGCTACACGAAGGCCATCTGCGCTAGCCGTCCTTAATTTAGCAGTGTAAGACTAGAGGGAAGGCAGCTAGTCATCACCACCCACCGCCAACTCTTGGGCTACTATTTTACCAACGAATAGTGGGATTGACCGGCTGAAAGAGCGAGCATGTTTGGTGTGACAGGGATTCGAACCCGCGACCTGCAGATTGCGAGTCGAGCGCTCTAACCACCTGGCCATGCCGGACCCGTCATTAAGATAACTGATGTTATCGAGTATTATACCATCGAGATGCAGCAGGAGATACCATGTTACTTGATTTGGTGTTTAAGTTCTTTTATTGAAATTTCTGTAAAACTTTATCATTCTTAATGAGTTCCATGAAAAGCCCCCCCCCCTACCCAGTGGCATAGCGGTATGTCTGCGGACTTCCAAAGCTAGAAATCGGATTTCGATATCCGTGGTGAGCAGAGACAGATAGCCCATTATGTAGCTTTGCGCTCAAGTACAAACAAACAAATCCACAAAAAGAAATAGTTTGTGTTACATGAATTATTGTGTAAAAAGTCTTTGAAGTACAGCTTGTAGATGCTCATTTCTTGTTTAGTTGGTTGTGTAGCTCATGTTTAGTCGAGATTCTAATTCTTTCTAAAGTTGAAATGCCTTTAGATGACCAATCAACTTTTGAGGTCGACTTTAAAGTCCTTAAATGTTTTTAAGGTTTTTTTTCTCGTTTGATGACAGGGAAAAGTTAATATGTTGAAAATGTAGCAAAAACCATTCGCTTGTTACCGAATATTGAATTCACTGTTTGGGTACTTCTTCACCATTATAAAGTCTTCGTGTGTAATAACTTTATACGAAATTCTTTCCCTTGTCATTTGAAGATCAAATGTCCGCAGATGTCCTGTACTAGTCCCATTTTAACCAAACATTTTCGTATATTTTTGGCCATTTAGCTGTACCACACGAATCAAACACACGTGTATCTTTATTTCCTGGTTGCTTTTCTTCTTTACAATTGTCTTTGCCATGAAAATTTTTTTCTTACCTTTTTGAGACAGCTTAGCTAGAAGTTGTAACACTGGTTTTTCATTAGTTTGGCAGTCTCTTGAGTCGTTCTAATGGTAGTACTTCCCAATGTTGCGGAGCGCCAGAAATAGGCGCTTTCATCAGATAAGTTTTATCTTTAGTTCTCTGTTGAAGTATTTTTGAGTTATTTCTGTTTGAATCATCACTTACAGATATCTTGTAATTTTTATAAAGTTAAACATTATTTTATTCTGTAAATTTCCTGAAAAAAAAAGAAAGACGTCTTTACTGTATAGGGAGGAAAGGTGAACTCTCCAACTGGCAAGACATGTCCAAGTAGGAGAACAAAAAAAAAATAATGTTATAAACGCTGAGCGATCTTAGCAAAGGAATTTATGGATGAAAATTTTATTTTTTCAACCTATATAAATTTTCCAACGCCCTGGTCCTATATCTCTATATTGAAAATATTTGATGCTAAGAACAAAACCGCCTTGAAACTAAAAGATAAATTTCAAATGTTAACACTCTGGGTAGAATAACGTATCTGATCCAAAATCACCAAAGACAGGTGTCATGAAGCATGATATCTGTTTTCATATGAGAGTATGATGTCTATTGAAGTTTTGTGGAATAGCGTGTTTCAGAAGCATACCTGAATTTTGGATGCTTTGGCATTATCAGGCGGTTCTTTCACTGGGGAGGTAGCACACATGTCTCTTTAGAACATAACCTTAGATATATTTTATGATGGTAACTGAAATGCTGGATTCTGATGGCCAGAAGTGCTACCATGATCATTCCAAAAGGTTTTTACCATGCTCTAGATCAGCAGCATCGAGTTTACAATTCGTCACTGACAAATTCTATCCCTATATCACTTACCTTTCCACTTTTTCTCAGGCTAAATATTGGTTCACTCCCTAGTAGATCAGCAGTAACTTTACGGACTTACAACTCTAAAATCCGGAGTTCGATTCGCCCTGGTGGACAGAGCACAGATAGCCTAATATGTAGCTTTGCGCTAAAACAAACAAACATATAAAATACTGGTCATGTCACCAACTGCTCCATTTGACTAATATTATAGTATTCTTAAATAAAGAAAAATATTGTTAAGACCCAGGCACTTGTGGCAAACGAACAAGGGCAACATCACAGGGTGAATACTGCTCCCTACGAAATGACCTAGGTATTAGAATCTGCAGAATAACAGAAAATTCAAAGATTTAATTTTTAAGAATGAATTAAAAGGAATAAGTTAGGATTTGAAGAGCTGAAATCAGATGTATCATAGAAAAACAAGTCTTTATCTAAACCATTATTTGACAGAAGTCTGAGTGTGTGTGTGTATGTGACCGTTTGTAGCTAGCGAATTACTGGACCTATTAATGGCTGGAGACGGCTTGAATGGGTAATGAAGAAAAACTTTAATATAAGTTAACATAACAGCAAATGTACAACGTTTCGACAAGGTTTTGTCATCATCATGTACTAATAATTTACAATAACATTACATTTATTACTTGACCTATTGTTGCTAGCGCCTTTAGGGCATTCCATGGAGTGTTACAGGGAGGGAATTGGCGTTTAGATTTGACCACCCCGTGTCAACCCGAGGGACCCTATGAAATTTATGCACTGGTTTAAGCCCCCCCCCCCCATTATGTAGCTTTGTGTTTAACACAAACAAACAGTGTTAAGTAGTAATAAACTGACTTACTAAACTGGTTAAACAGCAACAGTCCTAAGAAGTGTAAGAGAGCCTATAACATCTGGAGTGTCTTTTTTTTTAACATATTGAAAGTTTTGATTCAGTTGATGAATTAGATTAAGGCATTACTTGATAAAACTTAATGTTCTATTGATGAGTCTGTTTACATCTTAAATTACATTTACTAATCTAATATTTATTTGTATTAGTAATAATTTTAATTTTAATAAAAAATAGATATTTGTTGTACCTAGATAGAATAAAAATATTTTTTTATTACTGGAGATCTAAATAATAATCATTATAATTTGCGTTGCAGAAAACCCTTCAAATTACTACTTTAAAGTATTTTATAAATATTTATAAGTTGCTTTCGAAAAACGGGCCTGACATGGTCTAGTGGTTAGGGTTCGGATCCCTGTGACCATTGGGACGTTATAAAGTGATGGTCAATCCCCCTATTCCTTGGTAGAGTAGCTCAAGAGTTTGGGGTGGGTGTTTTTGACTAGGTACCTTCCCTCGAGTCCATCAGTGCTAAATTACGGACAGTTAGCACAGAAACCCTCGAGCAGCTTTGGTTTGATAGTTTTATTTTGTTTCTAAATGAAATAACTTTTTTTCCTGTTTATTTTCTCAACTGAGCTCAGTTAAATAATTTAGAATAAACTATTTTGTCTTAGTTTCTGGTTTCGAAGTTGTCTTGCTGACCTAAACACTTTTAATCAAATTGAATTCGGTATGCGAATAAAACAAAACTGCAAAATTTGGTTTCACAAGCGTGAATGTTCAGTTGTACACATCAACAAAATTCAATATATTGCTTAATTAGCTGACATAAAACTATTTATACTGGAGTTAATAAATAATACCTTTTATAAATGAAAGCTCTGTATCTCGTAAATTATTCTACGGTTTTAAAGCGACTCCTAAGTTTTTTATCGCAGTCTCAAAACTCCAAAGAAATAGGTAAATCAAAGATTCCCATTTAACCAATGTATGTGAAAGAAAAGATTGATCACTATTTTAGGGGGCTTGGTTAGTTTTGAATTTTGTTCATATTGTGAAGGGTGATTTTTAACGTGGATGTTTACTTTTGTTAAACACCAGAGAGTTTTGAAGAGAGACAAATATACTCTCGCAGCTAAAGATTAACCAACTGTGCAGATATTCTATAAAAAATAATTTCGAAGAAACTAAGAGTACACGGTCACTTGGATGAACATAATTTAATCAACGAACAAGGGTCGTGCAGGATGTTACTGCTACGCCACAGTTTTTTTTTTCTGTAACTCTATTACTTAGAAGCTTTCCTCCTGCTCTAACGAAGATGAAACTACCAAGCTCGTAGTTTCCGCTTGGTTTCTCTTTTTCATTACAAACGTCTTTAATTATCATTCTTCCCTATTCAAGTAATACAAATAAACATTGATATTTGAACCCTTATTTGCAGTGTCTCTATTTAAGTAATACAAATAAACATTGATATTTGAACCCTTATTTGCAGTGTCTCTATTCAAGTAATACAAATAAACATTGATATTTGAACCCTTATTTGCAGTGTCTCTATTCAAGTAATACAAATAAACATTGATATTTGAACCCTTATCTGCAGTGTCTGTATTCAAGTAATACAAATAAGCATTGATATTTGAACCCTTATTTGCAGTGTTAATCAAACAAAGCATTTCAGAATTTCTGGCCATATCCCTAAGTCAATATAATGAAATCATGTCTAGCGATCTATTTATCTATTTATCTATGATTTTTAACAGTTTTATCATTTTAATCACCATTAAAAGGTGTTTTGGTAAACGTAACTCATCTCAGTTCTTTTCTTTGTAGAGATCGTAATAATTAAGGTATCGAGTTCTTATATTGGTGTATGAAATTATATTACAGTTGTACTGATGTAATTAACCTAGTGTACATAAGATTTCTCTTCTCTTATTCTCTATTTAGGTATATTGCCATTGTCCACCCTCTTACCCCGCGCATGCCCAAAAAAGTTGTTTACTTGCTAGTAGCTGTAACATGGATTAGTGGAGCTGCTCTCTCGGTTCCTACCTTGTTGTACTCAACCACCCTAACGTACCGTTATCCCGATGGGAGCCTGAGGACACTTTGTTATCTGAACTGGCCAGATGGACCGGCTGGAACCTCCTATTCTGACTACGAGTAAGGCTACAAATTATTGGAACTTGGATAAACTATCTAGTGGGTTTGTTTGTTTGTAGTTAAGCACAAAGCTACACAATGGGTTATTTGTGCTCTGCCTACCACGGGTATCGAAACCCGGATTCTAGCGTTGGAAGTCCGCAGACATACCGCTGTGCCACTAGGGGGCACACACACACATATATATATATTCATTCATTTATTCATCGGACGTGAACTGTAAAATAAAATAAAACATTTTGAAATAGAAATAAAACTTTAAGTTTTCTTAGCAAAGCCACATTAAGCTATTTGCTGTGTCCACCGCGGGAAATCGAACCCTAGATTTTAGCGTTGTCAGACCATAAACTTATCGCTGTTCCACTGGGGGACATAAACGTTTAAGAATTGCAAGTGTTTAAATAAACTCAGAAAATACGGACTCGAGCCACTATCTGTGAAACCAAAGGAGACTTATTTTATTAGATCAACACGATATTAATAAGAACAATATAGTTTTCCGTATTTTAAACAATAAAGGTACCATAAAGGGGGATAACAAATCGAAGATATGCAAGAGTAATTGTAATTCATAAGTTATTTAATGTAAAAAGTAATACGCTGATTACATGTACAGAAATGGGTGCTATTAATGAAAAGCTGGGGTACATTAACTGCCAAAGCAATAAATTTCGTAGTTTACAGTGCAGCTTAAAATAAAACTTCCAAAGTCAGATAAAAAATCAATATGGTTGAGTTGATAAGTAAATGTTCAAGGAGATTCTATTATATTGTACTCACGGGGGCAGTAAAAAAATAGATATATCTAACGAGATTCCTGTATCTGTTGAACGATTTTCAGAAAGCTTAACATTTTGATAACAGACGTATCTTATTAAAATATATGTTTAGAAAGTACGATCAACTGAATGATGTACTAATGGACAATTTCGATAGCCTTTTATTTATTTGCTTACTCAGCAATGTTCTTCTATTTTCATGACATGAATTTAATGTTATTTTATTATGAATACAAATAGAGTAATTCATTGCTAAGGCTGCTAACAATACGGTAAAAATATGACTTACTTCTTTGATACACTTGACTGATTTCTTTGAAATCTTTCACAAGGAAACACAGTTTAAACATTGGGTCTGTATTTGTTTGTTTTGTTTTAAAAGTATTATTTTAAACATTGTACTACTTTGTGAATGGATTCATTCAGGAGTTTTTTGTATCAACTGAAGTTTTATATATAAAAGTTCTATGGGAAATACCTTTAAAACATGTCATTACACATATGAGCACGTCACGTTTAACAAATTTGTATACATGTTAAGCATAATCTTGAGCTGGAAAACATTGAAAAACCAACCTTTCAGAAAAAGAGAACTACCAATATTATTGTGGTACGAAGCAACTACCCAAAATAAATTAAAGTTATATGGACTTGGTATTTTTTCTTTTTTATGTGATGCACATATTCAGTTATGTGTCTCTGTATGTTGAAAGTTAAGTATATATATATCTTTGTCAATAAGCATGTTGAAAATGAAAAATAAATAAATTTTTGTTTCTCCAATATTTTAAATAAACTACTTTCTAGGCGGCGCAAGAAATGTGCTTAAAAATACGTTATGGGTTATATGCTTGAACCTAACCAGGTTTTAATCCTATTTCGTCATCTTTTATAAAAGCATTAAAATGTTAGTATCTATACATCAACCAATACAATATTGAAAAAAAAACCCGGGTCTCGTCTGATCTCTGCAGACACCTAACCCGATTAGTACTTGGGAGGATGATCATCAGGGAATACCGGGTGATGATGTCTCAGCAGTAAGTCTGAATGCTTACCACGCTAAAAACTGAGTTTCGATACCAGTGGTGAGTACAGAAATAAATGGGCCTAGCATGGCGGGTTCGAATACCCGTCCCACCAAACATGCTCGCCCTTTCAGCCGTAGGGGCGTTATAAGGGACGGTCAATCCCACTATTTATTGATAAAAGAGTAGCCTAAGAGTTGGCAGTGGGTGTTTTGCGGGAAATCCAAACCCAACCAAAATCTATATATCGCGTTGAATGACGAGAAACCCACTTTGAGACAAATAAAGTTTTGAGACAGCTTTAAGGAGTAATGCAGAAAACTTTATTAGAAGTTTTACACAGTAACAAATGTACAACGTTTTGACAAGGTTTTGTCATCAACAGGTGCACGTAGTTTACCTAGACACAAATATATATATATATATTCAAATAGTATGAAAGAAATAAGTCACGTGGCTGCAGATTGCTTAAGGGCTTAATAAAGATATCTTGGCACTCTACGATACTAGTTTAGAATAAATCTGTGTTGGTCAATTAAGATGGTTTCTTTGATTCTAAATTTGATGATGTTTGATTATTTGTTTAAAATTACAATATTTCAATTCTTTTTCAGTTGCAATGGTTGAAACATGGGAGTTTTTCTATTATGTTCACTGAATCTAATTTCCTGTTTTTTCCAGTTTCTCCGATGTTGAATACTGAGCAGCTATTAAAATCATTTTACAAATGATGTTAGTAACGTGTAATAATACATATTTTTTTAATTGATAACGATTTTAGTTTAGGACCAGGTTTTTGAGTGAATTTAAAGTCGACAAGAACTGATTGTGTAATAGCAACTTTTTCCCAGGGTATGCCTATTAAAATTTTAGACAAAGAACCAAATATCAACAAACGTACTGAGGTGCAAAGTAAAAGCGGCGAAGATAGCTTGTTACACAACAAGTCCGTGCTTGTCACAACTGCTTACCGCAAAACTGATCTGAAGACCTTACTTATCAATCTTTCTGAGAAAGGCTTTTGCGGGGAGCAGTATAATATTGTAATCGCTCAGTCAAAGCATTTCACCATTATTCATCAATCCACTTTTAAATGAACTTGTTATTCCACACCATAAAAAAAATGCCAGATATGCTAAAATGGTCAAAAACCTTCTGATCCTTTCCAAGATCTATGAGTACTTTGGGGCTTCAAAACTCAATAAAATGTATTTTTAGAAACCCAGCGTGGGTCAGTGTAATTTAACATGCTAAAATTTTGTGGGAATAGCAAGTCCCTTTAAAATTACACATGAGTATAAGATGTTTTACTTTGACCCCAAAATTTTGGCCTTCCCCCAAATTTTTGGTGCTGGCGTCGTCACTGCTAAGACGTTAAGTAATCCCCGGTCATGCGACTTCTTAGTTTCATACTATATATATATATATTCGATAACAAGGAACCCACATTGAGGCCAATAAGATTTAGAAACGGCTTAAATGAATAACGAAGAAACTTTATTACAACTTTAACTCGGTAACAAATGTATAACGTTTCGACAAGATTTTATCACCATTAGGTACTATTTTCCAATATGTCCCTCAGTAGCCCAACGCTAAAATCTGGGGTTGGGTTCCACGCGGTGAATAGCTCATTGCGTAACTTTGCGCTTCAAGACAGAACAAACATTGTCAGAGTATTAGTAATGAAAGTAAAAATAATATTATCCTGATAAATTTCTTCAGTCTACATAAAAAAAAATTGAATGAAAGATAATTTACAAATCCAAGTAAATAAACGTGAAATCACTGTAATTGAAATTCAAAAATGTCTTACTGAAACTAAAAACACATCCTGGTAAAAATCAGACCGGATATATTATAATTCTATTATAACATTTGTCTCATAATTCCCTGGTTATCTTAGCTAATTTGTTAAGTTTCTCAATTGTTTTCAGAACATATCTAATTAATTTGGATCACACAAAATTAACAGGTCGTAGACACATTAGTTTATTAAGTTGTACAGGAAAAGAATTAGAAAGAACAGTAAACAGAAGATTAATATTTGAAGTCTTCAAATGAGAAAAATCTATTTAACAGAATCTTATTGTTATATAAAGGTGAAGACTCATAATAAAAAATATAGTTGTACTAAGAGGTTTAAAATATAGAGTGTATGAAGGGACTAAAAGCTCGATCCCCATAACTTATTTGTTCACGGATCTTTTCGAGAGAGAGTACTGGTAGAGCGAAATTGTAAAACAAACATCAAAGGACATAAAATTTCGAAAAAAAAAAAAGAAGAAGCAAAAACCTATACAGCAGAGCTCTTAAGGCAGTATCAAATTACAAGGTTTGAGACATGGTCTAGTGTTTAGCTTGCCGGAATTTGAATCTGATGGTTCATGGTTCGCGTTCTTTTGCCACAAAAATGCATTCTGCGGTGCGTTATAAAAGTGACGGTCAAATCTAATTATTCAATTAATGTAGTTCAAGAGTTGGCGATGGGTGCTGTTGAGTAGCTGTCTTCAGTCTAGTATCTCGGTTTAAAATTATGGATGGACTTGCGCAGACAGCCCTTGTGTAGCTTCGTTTAAATTTCCGAAACAAACAAACAGGCTTACATAACACATAAACACACAAAGTTGTTTTTCATTTACAAAGTAAAGACTATGGTTACGAAAGAGAACACTCAAACCAAAACTGTTTGTAATAAACCTGGACATACCATTTGAGGTTCCTAGCAAAAGAGCAAATACCGATTTCACACTAACGAAAACTCGCTACCAAAAACTCACAGCTTCCAGCCACATCTCAAAATTAACGGCTGATTTTATGAGAAAGATTTGGAGAAATTTAAATCCGACACCGACGAAAGTAGAGAGCACCATCTCCTTTAAAACAAAACAAAAAATCATCCATGATGAAATTGATACGTGATAACAAAACGCAATACGAATCTCTACTTTCGAACGACTGCACAATCTTTTTTAGGAAATACTAAACAGAAGTAGCTAAATCTCCACCAAAATGTATCATCTAGTGTTATAAATGACAAAAATTTGGACACTCTAAACCATATTTCATGGCTGCCGCCAGATGTGTTAGGTGCGTACGGTCACACTATGGGGATTGTTGTCGTAACGAATGAACACAGGTCACTTACGCTGCTAGAGACAGGGCCTGTTCCCGTTACCAACACATCAGGAGA